AAAGAGTGTCATTTGGCATGAACTCGGCGATAAGTAGCCTCTCATCCCCTTCTGCGCAGCAACCGATCAGGTTAACCAGCCTCTTGTGCCTCAACTTACCCACCCCAGCAGCCTCCACCTAAGCCAAAAAATACAAACAAAACATGAATCCATTCTTTAGCATAACAGAGCGAATCCTCATCTCAAAATCAAAGCAATGAGTAGGAACACAGTAAAATGTAAAAACAAACCACAAACTGTTGAGCATCTGGCCACGATTGGCGTGAGAACCGTTTGACAGCGACCAGCCTCCCGCCTTCAAGTTTCCCCCGGTATACAACGTTCGGCGCTTTCTCGCCACTCTCCGACACGATGAGCTCAGAGCTAAACCCCTTCGTCGCTGCCCGCAGCTCCGCTAAGTTAAACTCCCGGAACACCGGAACCCGATCCTGCTCTCCCTTCTCACCTTCAAAAAAAACAAAAGAAAAAAAAAACAACATAAAATCCAAAAAATAATAAAGGAAAAACAAAAATGTAATAAAAATGTGGAGAGAAGGGAGCCGCGAGAGACGAAGAAAGTACGTGAATCTTCCTTCTCCGCCGGAGGAGACTCTTCTTCCGGCGACTGTACGTTGCTAGTCTTTGACTGCAGGCAGCCCATTCCCCCCTAACTCAAGATTTCCATCCAATTCCTTCTTCGTCGGCGACGGCGAAGTCGGCTATGACGGCGGAAGACAGAGCACAAAGTGAACCCAGTGGGCAACTGGAAAGCAGCTTGGTGTGTGGGGGAGGAACTGACAGGATGACGTGGCTCATTATTTACTGTGTTACCAAACCTACATAGTAATTTATTAGCCGTTGGATTTTGAGTGATTGGAGATAACGAAAAATAATCCAGTTCAGTATGCGGGAGGAAGGGGTTCAGAGTGGGCCTAGTGGTCACATGATAAGTCGACGACGGAGCACGTGAACGGGACAAGTGAAACGGGGAGCGGCTTCCGCTGCAGAACTGATCCCCCGCACCCAATCACAACCCACAGCACCTTGCGGTCTGGCACCACAAATCTTCGTGTGGGTGGATTGCTGGTGATAGCTGCGGGTTTCTATCAATCAAGCGCTGACATTGCCACTTCGTCTAAAGTGAAATGTATTGATCTCGGCATCAGCTGAGTACCAGCCAAATTCGTGCAAGACAGGTAATTTTTATGAAAGCCCCTTTGTAGAGATAGATTTTGTGAATCGGAATCTCTAAGTTTTGGATACTCACTCAGAGTCTGTTTGGGGCAGCTGCAGCTTATCGAAATTATCCATATAAACAGTTTATCATAATAATTTGCTGATCGGCAACTTATCCGGATAAACTGGTTGGTTGTTTGGTTTGTGTGTTTCGAAAACAGATGATTCTGGATAAATGACAATTCTTCCTCTGTTCTAGATAAAATGTTTAGCTGTTTGGTTTTTGCGTTTGCAAAACAGCTTATTTGTAATTTTTTATAAATAAATGAATAATCTGGTACGAAGCAGTTGTACTATTCACAACAAAAATGTATTGTCCACATATTAAATATTTTAGAAGCAATAAAACCCTTTCATAACGTACAAAAAAAGATATACGCCTCACCTAATAGTGAGTATCAGGAAACCTAAAAGAAAAAAAGAAATGACATGTTAAAATTACAAGCACCGTTCCATTTAATTCAAATATATTGATCTTATTCACTCAATTGAATTGCTCAATTTGCACAAACTATATGAAATTCAAAAGAGTAAAAAGAATAAGTGTCCTCACCTCCCACAATAAAGCATGAGGTCGCATGTGATCAATTTTTTAACTTTCCCCTGTTACATCTTTTGATGATTGGGAAGCAAATCTCTTGATTCCCTCAAAATGATCCACTCTACATTTTAGTTCTCCAAAATAAATTATGGCTTCTTCGAGAACAAGAACAACCTCATTCATCGATTCAATGCCACATTCTAATTCACAAAGAAGATAGAGTTCATCAACTACTCTATTCAAATTTTCAAAAAGAAAGCACCAAAGCCTCTCTATAAACCTTTCTTTAACCTCGCTCTATTCATCTTCACCTTGATGAGGTTCACCGATCAAAACATCTACATTGGCAGTGGGAGCATCAAAAGAAACTTTAACACCTTCTTTGCCCCGCTTCCGTTCATCCTCGCGCGTTATCGAGAGATCAGTGAGGGTTGGTTTGCAGCTGTTGGTTGACGTCGTCGAAGGCACGACAGAGATTGGCAAACTCCTTATGTGCCTCGTCGGAGACGAGCAACTTCGCCATGTCGTTTCAGTCAATCGCCTTGGTTGCCTTCACTGTCGTCTCCACCACCTTCTTCGCCCCGCTTCTGCTCATCCTCGCGTGTTATCGGGAGATCAATGAGGGAGGAGACAGAGAGAAGAAGGGGTACATGAGAAAAATTTCACGCGAATGCTGGTTGAAGACACGGGACGCGTCCCCGTCTATTAAGGATCCAAGAACTATGTTTCGGGATTATTTATTCAAATACTCAAAACAAACGAGACCGTGGTGATTTGAAAACGCCACCGCAATGAATAAGCTGCCCCAAACGCACCCTCAGTTTACTAGGTCGTAATGTGACGAAACATGCTCGTCCCGATTAACAAAGTTATAAAAGAATATCATTAAAAAATATAATAGATATTTTCATTTGATTAACTTATTTTGTATATCTGAGCTCAAATATCTATAAAAAATATCAAAATTAATTTTTTAGCCATTTATATTTTAATTTTAATAAATTTACAACCAAACTAATCATATGTATATAAAAAAATATGACAGCACTAATCTTGAAAAGATCCAACGGATTATACGAAAAAAGCAGCAAAAGAACCAATTCAGTAACACTCGAGTCGGCTGAACTTTGGACCGACTGAGTGTTAGCTCGAAGTCAGACCGAACTAAGGAGCATCACACACCAATACCGATAACCAACACAAATAGTATTTGCAAGAACAACATTCGTATAATAAGGACCCTTCTTGTATAGATTCATTAATCGAATGTAGGATGTTCGTCATATTATGATAATGTGTCATCTTCCTAATAGATTAATCCTCCTAGAGGATAATGAGTCTTCACAATGGATTCCTAGAAGAAAAGGTGACCAGAGAAAGTTCAGTAGCTTAATTGACTTTTTGGCCATCCACCTGAATACCGCATGACCAAGCCAAGCAGTTAGAAATATGAAACAGTGCTAAAGCAGTTACAGATACGGAACGATGCCAGTAGTGGTTGTAATGTAAAAATATGCTCAATTGGTATTAATAATATAAAGGTGTAATGGCTCATACATAATTCTAACTTTCTCACTAAATGTGGGCCAAGCATGTAATTTAACGGGTCACTTTGTATGACTTATAAATAGGGGGGTCATTCCTATGGAAATGATTACTGGCTCTATTTCAAGATAAATTGATTTATTTGTGCATGTTTGTCTCTACTCCTCTCTTTTCATATTCCTCTCATACATCCAATGCTCTAACATTTTGGGATTCAACATCCTAAAAAGTGTTATGAACATAGAATCATACCTTCAACAAAAAGATGAGTGCATAGCGGAGAAGGAACACACAAAGGAGAAACTCCTAACATGAAGTTCATCAAGAAATTCATGCAACAATAAATTCAAGAGTTTCATGATCAGATGGCAGGTTAGATTGTGGAATTAACTGAAGTGCAACTTGAGAGGAGAGCACAGTCTCTTTCACACATAATCCTCTAGCACCCAGCCTCAAGGCCAACAGGCAGCTCAAAGAACCAGACAGATGAAAGAATGTCATAACCAAGATAGTGTTGGATCTGCGCTGAGAAGTAAACCACAAGTGATGCAAATAGAAGCACATATGGAACTAATTGAAATTTATTGTCGACTAAAGAATGTGTTCTCTCGATACAAGATTGAAGTTGAAGCCCCAAAAAAGTTCAAGGTACCCTCCCCGGAACCATACTAATGCCAGAGCAATCCGGACGACCATATTGCATCCTTTGAGTCAACTGTCTCCCTTCTTAGGATTTATGATGCATTAATGTTTTTATTATTCTACATTGCCTTGATAGATGCGGCTCTTAGATAGTTCAATGGACGCCTTTTATGGATTATATATTCCATTGAAGAGTTCAGGATGTTATTTATGGTACAATTCGTTGGCACCCAGAAACCCCACAAGGATTTAGAACCCTGTGGTTTGTAAAGTAGGGACCGAACAAGAGCCTACGGGTGTACATTTCATGGTTCCAAAATGAGAAGCTTGAGGTGAGGAACTTAGAGCCAAAAATTGCTAAAGCGTCCCTAGCGCAAGGGCTGAAGAGTGTGCCTTTCAGATAATCCTTGGTTAACAAAAACCTGAGACTTTGGTCGAACTCTTAGAGTTAACCAATGAACACATCGCAACAGAAGAATACATGAAACTGCTTGTCCTAAAAAATGAGAAGTGAGATTGTCAGTCTGATAAAAAAGTTTTATGGGATGATAGGTGGAGGGAGAAAGATGGCCCTCCTCCTAAGCCTGAAAGAGGTAAGTCGGCTGGTAGAAATTGGGATTCTGAAATTCACTAAAGCAAAGCTGGTCACATGATCGCTCCACTGGTGATCATGGGGCATTGAGACCCACTCAACTAAGGGTTTCGATGGAAAAACTAGTAGAGGTTACCCAAGATAAGGGGTATTTCTGAAAGGCTCCGCCAATGAGAATAGAAGCACATCTCTAAAATACCTACAGGTACTGTAAGACCATAAAGACCATGACCATGATTACAGAGGAGTGCATGCAACTTAATAGCTTGGTTGAAGAATTGATACAAACTAGGAAACTCAAGGAGTTTATCACCCTAAAAGTGTGTACTCAACTGCAAGGGAAGGCGCTTACAGAAGACAAATTGAGTGGACATGTTCGAGCCAATGCTATCCACATAGCGGGGATAATACCAATAATCTTGGGAAATGAATTGATCTGAAGTCCTGTTGGCACTATTTTCGGTGTGGGGTTTGCCCGTAAGAAGCTGTCGGTCATTAGAATTGAAATCCCGTTGCTCGCTTCGGAAGGACGCTTTAAAAATCTTAGTTTTGAAAAAGATGAAGTCAAACTGACCCCATATTTTTCATAGTTTAGATGAAAGAGCGCTTTACCTCAAATCCTGTATCTATCCCGAAGGATGAACACAAGAGTTGAGGGTGAGGCTCGATCAAATAAACTAAAGAAAGTTATGACATTCATTTGG